TATATATATATATATATATATATATATATATATATATATATATATATATATATATATATATATATATATATATATATATATATATATATATATATATATATATATATATATGTATATATATATATATATATATGAATATATATATATATATTCATTATTGCATGCAAGTCCTTCGATCCGTAAGCGCGGATCTTCATCGGTGCTAATAAATAATAATAATATTTAACAAAAAAATTTAACAATTATTCACCGAAGTGGAGGTGAATTGAGCAAGGATATTCACCGAAAGGCGAAGCGTGGGCTGCATATCACCGAGGGGATTGTTTTAGCGTATACCAGAACAAAACAAAAATGGCCAAAAAACAACGAAAATATTTTTAAAACCGTTTGTATTTCAGTTCTCGTGATAGGTGTAAACGAGGTTGTGAACAAAACAGTACTTGCAAGCTTTTAGTAATTTTATTTATTAGAAATAGCTAAACAAAACTTTGTGGCTTTTTTGCGCTTGGCGAAACGGCAGCTTCGTTTAGTACAAAAATGTGCTCGCGTCTTTAACCGGACCAAAACGGGAAGCCATTTTGTTTTTGTTCGGAGGTGAAATTGGTGAATAGTGCAAAGATGCCAAAACTCAATTTGAGATGATAGATACTTATTTTTCACTTTCTTTCTTTCTCTTCTTTACAGGAGGATGACAGATTCGATTGACAAACGATTTTGTTTTGATATCACAGCTCAGGATAGGTATGATAGTTGTAACCAATATACCTGTCGCGTTCTAGGGGGAGTTACTATTCTTAGACTTTTGTAATTTTGTATTCTTTTATATTTTAAACTTAATCCTAATCTTAACCCTAAACGCTTACTCTAATCCTAACCCTAACCCTAATACTTTCCCTAAATCCTAACCTTAAAAGTCTAAAAATAATAACTCCCCCTAAAACGTGACTCATATGTTTCTTTGTAACGTGAATGAGGTGGCTTCATACTTCTAATGAGTTTCAGATCGTTTCAAACGCTAGATAACGAGACTTGTGGCGGCTGTGACCTCATTATTTGTTCGCTGGCAAATTTAAGACAAAGGAGAGGGGCCCAATCTCTGTCTAGATAATACGTGACCTCTTTGTCGCTTGGCTTAGCGAAGCAGGATCTAGACCGTTTCTTTGGAACTCTGTGTCACGATGTAGAGCACGATCTTGGGTAGGTGCATGGGATCCTCCATCCTTTAGACATGCCCTGCCCAGCGTAGCTCCATCTTCAAAAGTATTGCCTCGATGCTGTTGATCTTCGCCTGTTCGGCAACTTCGTTGTTGGTGACGAAGGACTCTAGTGTACGTTAAGGATGAAGCAGGGCAGTAATGCTGATGGAAACACTCAAGTAGTCGTAGGTGGCGACGATAAGTGTTCCACGTCTCTGCACCATACATGGGTGTGGTCAGTATACTACGACTCTTTACACGCTGCTCTTGGCATATTTCTCGAGACGTTTGTTGTTTTACACTCGCTTGTGGTCAGTCGTCCAAACGCACTGCTTGCCTGAGCCGATGGGCTGTTTGCAGCTCTGAGTCTCTGACTCACCGATTGTGGTACGACGAGGGTGCCAGGGCAGTATATACGAGTAATCCTGTACTGAGGTGGGGCCTGTGCAGGACCTCTGTCTTCAGGCTGTATTCATGTCCGAAGGGTTGTGCTTGCCTCTACGATGCAGGTCTGTCTCAGTGCGGACGAAACAACTTTAAAGACTTCCCGAATTTGCCTGAGTGCGCACGACACAACAGCTTGAATCGAGGCGGACAGTGTAGTCCATTGTAATTATGTACATTTCATTGCCAACCGGATGGCCTGTAGACACCTCCAAATTTACTGGCAGGAATCTAACCTGCAGGGCCTGCAATTCCTGTGCAGCTCTCTGACCACTGACTTATATGCCGATGATTGGTTTATCATACAGACTCGCTCAGGTACAGACTCTTCTGCACTTCTTTCCGGACTATCGTACAGAGTCTCTTATAATGAACACTGTAAAAAAGTTTGACTCAAAAACTTTAGTAAAATAATGCACCACGATGGCTCAAAATATTGAGTAAAATTGCTCAAATTTATGAGCAATTTTACTTGTGTTTTTTTTTGTGAAGTATAAATCTTTACTCGAAAAGAGTAAATTCGAAACTTTACTAAAAAAATCGAGTAACTAAGATTTAGTCGATTTCAAGTTCGACCCATAATATATGTAAAGCAATGCGTTTATCTTTATGTTATTTTTCTCTAGACCGCAACCTATAACTCTTCAAGCTTTAAACGACGAAGACCGTAAACAATGGCTTTGCGCTATGGATGGAAAAGAACCGGTAAGATACATAGAGGTGCAGACGTTATGAATCATGTTTTCAACACAACGCAAACTAAACGAAGGTGAAATAAAGTGAAATGGATTGAGTGTTTATTTACACGAATCATGAAATGTACAATAAAATGAGATACCATATTCCCTCCATTTAACCCCCTGGACCCGGTTGCTCAAAATTTCGAGAAAAAACTCCTGCTGATCCCAGACAACACTTCTGAAGAAATATTTCCAAATTTATATACCAGCTGTTAGGAAGTTTGCTTTGAATTTTAAGTTAACCTAGGGTTAAGCTGGTCAAGGATAGTTAAATGGTCCCAGGTAGTTTATCCCGCATGCAGAGGCTTATTTTTTCCAGTAGTTCATGATTGGTGGCTTATTTGGAGGTGTTTATATGAGCCCTATATATATATGTGAAAGCAGGTCCTATTAGGCGAGATCTCGCGTACTAATTGTAATCCTTAGGCCCCGTTTACATGAGACCGGGACGAAGTCAAACCCGAATGAAAATTGAAATTGTCAACATGTTTACATGAGACCGGTACGAAAATCACAAAATTTTCAATTTATTCTCCTTGCCTGGCAATTTTCTTTTTTAGATGGCTTTTGTTAGCATGTGTTGTTCCAATGTTAAGGTTACAGCCGAGACCAATGCATTTGTGTTTACATTCAACCCAGTTCTGAATTCATGTCGGCTCGGTCCAGCAGGCGGAATGACTTGAGACCGTTCGAGTTATTTTCGTCCAGGTATCATGTAAACATCTATTATAAATAACACTATGACCGAAACGAAATGGTCCCGGTTTGACTTCGTTATGTTCTCAGGCAAACGGGGCCTAACGAGCTTAACTAAAAATTTTTTGTCTGTATGAGAAGATGGTCAGCCCTCCTAGGCGTGATTTCGCTTTTGACTGCCCGAGATCTCTATATAGTAGGGCTGGAAATTTACTCTCGAACAGTCTGTGCTAGTGTAGGTAGTGGCAATAATAACAAAAGCTGCGGATTCATAATGATACAACTATTTGATACAACTATCTGAATTTGTGTTTACATTCATCCCAGTCTGAATTCATGTCGGCTCGGTCCAGCAGGCGGAATGACTTGAGACCGTTCGAGTTATTTTCGTCCAGGTATCATGTAAACATCTATTATAAATAACACTATGACCGAAATTGATAACAGTAGATTAGGACACATATTGATAACAGTAGATTACTGAAATGTTTATCCTCTGTAAAGATTTTGAAATACAATACAATACGATACAATACAATACAAGGAGGAAACGATACGTTTCGAGTGAAGGTGCTTCGTCTGGAAGTTAGTAAAGTAGCCTACTAAACGCGTCCTCAACCTAAAGTTCTCCTTGTATTTTTCAGCTATTGTTGTGTCCCTTTCAATCCACAGCTTTCTGGAAATGAACCAGTAGTAGAGCGGAGTAAAAAACCCGCTACATCCGTATCAAACTCAGCTTGTCGAAGTTTTTTTTCCACTAAAATATTGAGCTCTAGAACAATATTCAATCGTCTGTTGTTTATTTCGAAAATTTGCTTGACAATGTGAGAAGGGGAGGCGGGCTGGGGGCTAAATTTGAATGATACTTGGATACTAGCTTTATGCTCAAGATACTTAAAGGGTACGTGGGCGCTTCAAGGAACCAATAGGTAGCCATCATCTTCCATGATGAACTCAAAAAGAAAATGTTAAATACATGAATTTTTAAAACCACCTCGGAAATTTCGACAAAAAATTGAATATTATACAAATAATGAATGTTTTTCGTGAAATGGTAAGAATATTTTCATTCGGTGAAAGATGGAATATAATAAAACGTATAGTACAATTGCACTTGCAAAGAGTGCAATGGAACGTATTCCATTGCACTCTTGGGAAATGGAATTTTCTATTCAATATCACGTATCGCCATAAACAGCCAATTAAACGATCAGAATCCAATAAGGTATTATATAAAACGCAATTCTTTATGAAATGTAAAATAGTATTCGTATCTAGCTATAAGTCTGTATTGAGATTTATTAAAATAATAGAAGATGGGGGAGGGGGGCTAAATAGAAGGTGGGGTCTATGAATTGAAGCTTACCGAAAATGGGGGGGGGGGGGTGAATTTTCCCTTAGTGAGATTTTATTGATATGAAATGCACACAACGTTTCATGAAATAATTAACAAGTATTCACCGAAGTGGAATAGAAATATCTTTAAAGAATTCCTCTACACACTGTTAATTTGTTAGTGCGCAAAACGTGAGGATGAAACCAAGTAATTTATCATGGCCGTTGTTGCGGGCGTATATATAAGCACCCATCCAGTAAAGTGCATGCTGTATCATTCATTAATACAAACACATGGCACGCAAATACGCCTATATAGGTATAAATACGCCTATATAGGTATAAATCCTTGCCGTCTTGGATACATATTTATCTGTGCTCTGTTTCTAAGAGATGCATTCAATCTTTTTTATTTTAGATTTACCTCGATAGCAACGAGTTGGCAGGCAATTCAAGTAATGAAGATGCAGGTTTGTGACTTACTTCTAGAATACTGATCGATCTGTATATAATGTAATAAGCGTTCGTTTTGTTTTTCTTACAATTTTCAATACAGACGTATAGGAAGAATTATATAGACCTACAGGTATAGATCCCAAGTATCTCAGTGCTGAGGCCGAGATGTGAATTACTCCAAAAATCCTCGCTTATACTTTCTGAAAGATGACAAAAAAGCCTTTCGAAAAATCCACAAATTTGATTAATTATTAGACCTATCTCGGTTTGTTTCTTGACGTATACTGTTATTTCTTAGACCTACGATCTATTTCTCAGATCTATTGTTTTTTTCTCAGACCTATTGTTTATTTCTCAGACCTGATGTTTATTTTTCAGACCTGATGTTTATTTTTCAGACTAATTGTTCATCTCTCAGACCTGTCGTTTATTTCTCAGACCTATTGTTTATTTCTCAGACCTATTGTTTATTTCTCAGACCTATTGTTTATTTCTCAGACCTATATTGTTTATTTTTCAGATCTGATTTTTATTTTTCAGACTAATTGTTTATCTCTCAGACCTGTCGTTTCTTTCTCAGACCTGATGTTTATTTTTCAGACCTGTTATTTATTTCTCAATTTATTTCTGATTCTGAACTGAATGCTCTGTGGGAAATCCCGATGGCCAGTCCTTAACCTGACCAAGGGGTGCTAAACCCCTATGGACAATCCTTAGATTTAGATATGTTATATGTGTGACATATATTGAGTATATATGGGCCTGAAGTTGACATTTTTGGAGACTTCACCCAGAACCACGAATTTATTATAATAACGCAACAAAACATACAAGAAATGGTGATCTTGTGCACTACTTGTATACATAATATTAATAAAGATAATGATTATCTACCATCGATATTTGTACCTTTTTGCGCCACGTTCCTCCTCGTGCCTTTCTTTCAGAATGTAGCGTTCGGGAACGGTTGGCACTTAAACAGTGTTCCTTTGTGTTGAAAAGTATATATATATATATATATATATATATATATATATATATATATATATATATATATATATATATATATATATATATATATATATATATATATATATATATATATATATATATATAAATAAATATATACACATAGCAACATTGTTATTGTATTACCCTAATACAACTACTACTACTTCAAGCGAAGTTGTTAAATATCTACAAATGGGCGGAAAATTAAAACGTTTTCTTTTTTTTTTTTTTTATGAACAAACACAGTGAAAGCAGGTAAGCTGAAGAAACAAAAAATTTAGCATGCAAACGCCGAGAGGTGAGTGGGTGGGAGGTTCTGTCGATAACGTGAATCGAACAACAGCCAGATGATGTAATTTGTTCATAGCCGCATGCACGTTATGCGCTAATTAGGTTGTGCTGTATTGTGCATTATGACTGGTCAACTCAAAGGAGAGAGTTGTACGAGGTGTTCAATCATGGCTCGTGGATAATGTGCTGACTTGTACACGTGACAGCATACTAGCTGACATAAATGATCTTTGACTTATTTGTCAATGGCCTGAGATAAACCATTTCCATCCACACTTAGCTTACCTTCAACGCGTTGTCCCATCAACTTAAATTTATATAACTATAAATTTGCTTAAATTTGCAGCGAGTTTCGACGATTTTCTTATTGGACAGAAGTTTCTTAAGAAATGTGTTGCTGCCATTGAAACCCGAGGTATGGCGGTGCTTTTAATTTATCTAAGAAGTTATTATGCATGGCGATGCTGTATAATTATATAAAATACTCATAATAATTCATGAAGGAAATTCAAAAGAAATTAATGTTTAACAACTATTTGCAAATCGGATAAAAATTTAGTCGTGATTTAGCTGTACTCAATCTTCTTGCTAAGACATGATCCGCAGGATGCCACTTTTTTCCATGTCTGGTGGTAAAGAGATTAAAATGTTATATTATCCCAATTTGAGATAACGGGTATTAGTATAATTACATAGGTGATTATTGAAAATTCTCCACGCTGATTGGTTGCCGTTGAGGTGATTATAACGCGATGATCACCTAAGCGATTTTCAAAATGGCGGCCGAAGCCGTTTTGTCAATTAAATGACGAAAAAATGTGTATTTTTTATTTTTTTCCCAAATAATCACCTATGAAATTATACTAAAACAATTATTCACCTCAGGCTCGCGGTGATTATCGTGAATAAAAACCTCGACTTCGTCTCTGTTTTTATTCACCGATAATCACCTTGCCTTCGGCGAATAATTGTTAACTATTAACCGCGCATCTCGGATGTTCGGCTTTCAGATCCTCTGCAACGCATGCTAAACAGAACTCTGCTTTTCATCACCAGGTATCACTGAGCAGGGACTGTACAGAGTTGTTGGTGTTGGATCGAAAGTTAAGAAATTGTTAGACGTTTGTTTTGGTAAGTAGATTTTATGAGTAGATTATGAATTTGAATTTATTAAATTTGCCACTGAAAAAGACGTACTTTACATATACAAAAAACTACTAAATTGCCCTAATAAGTAAAATGGCAGGGTCACCACAACAGCAGTTGCCAATTACCGTGGGCCCTATAGGGTCACCACAACAGCAGTTGCCAATTACCGTGGGCCCTATGGGCCCAATTACCGTGGGCCCTATATATTGTAGCAGCCGAATTGTTCAACACCATTTCTTAAAGTGGCATGCAGTGTCATTAAAATTTTTGTTGTCTCAAGCGAAAGAACTCCTAAAACTGTAACGTAACTTCTTTTGAAAAAATTGGTTTCCATGGTTTGTTCTTGAGATATTTCATTTTGTTCGAAACCATGTGACGTCATTTCCTCAATTACATATATAATGGAATATCAGTTAATGTTGTGTATCTTTGCTATTTTTGACGGATTTAAAGTTTGTTCGTTCACTGCAACCAGGTATGTCAATCAAGACCCAACGTTTCGACACTCCAGTGTAGTGTCTTCATCAGGGGTGATCTAAAACTATAATCGTGGCTTCTTAAATACCCAAGGGATGACGTCACCTGCCAATTTGATGCATGTATTCCTCTGGCAAATAGGCGCCAGATTGGTACACGGCTAAAAGAATATCAAAAGGCTGTTTTAACTTTAGACAAGGGAAAATCAGCTTTAGCAGAACATGTATGTTTCACCAAACACGAGATTGCGTGGGAAAACTCTAGAGTAATTACTACAAACAATCGCTATGGTCAAAGACTATGCCTAGAAGCGTGGCATATAAATATGAGTAATCATGCTTTGAATAGGGATGACGGTGCCTATTTGCCAGAGGAATATATGCATCTCATTGGCAGGTGACGTCATCCCTTGGGTATTTAAGAAGCCACGATTGCAACTTTAGATCACCCCTGATGAAGTCACTAGACTGGAGTGTCGAAGCGTTGGGTCTTGATTACAGTTCGACTGGGCTTTGTAATTTATTTAAACCAGAGTAGCGAGCGAAACATGTTTGACGGATTTGTTTAAAAAAAACAGTATGCTTAATGACGTACTGTAGGTTAAATTAATAAACGCGCCGCATCTTTGGAAAGATTTTGATAAAAAATAGCAAAGATACACAGCAATTAATTACTGATATCTCATTATATATGTAATTGAGTAAATCACGTCACATGGTTACAAACAAAATGAAATATCTCAAGAACTAAGCATGGGAACAAAAATCATTGGGCTAAGTATTCCAAAGGTCGTAGGTTCGATTCCCACCGTGGCCAGGCATATTTTCCAAGCTCGCCCGGTGTGGATATACACTAAGAGTAACATCACAAACATCTTATTCACCTGAGTACACAACACCAACACAGAAAAAAATCATATTACTAGATTACATTGGTATCGAAGGAACTAGATTCTGTTCCGAAATATCACTTACTCGAACCGTCCTGACCGCGTAGCTCAGTTGGCAGAGCATTGGGCTAGTATTCCAAAGGTCGTAGGTTCGATTCCCACCGTGGCCGGGCCTATTTTTCAAGCTCGCCCGGTGTGGATATACACTCAGAGTAACATCACAAACATCATATTCACCTGAGTACACAACACCAACACAGAAAAAGAAAAGTTACTATATAGTTTTAAGAGCATTTTCGTTTAAGAAAATAAAAATTCTAATTGACAGTGCCACTTTAAATTAAAGGAGATGGCAATAAAACTTAATGCTCCGGTGTGAAAGGGCATGCAACTACGTGAATTAACGTTTCAGGTTGTGACATCACACATATCATGGATAATAAACTATATGGATAGGACTCTAGCTGACGTCACAGTCTAAACCTAGTTGCAATCTGTGACGTCACGCGTATTGCCAAAGTTCTTGGCATTTTTGTTGTTTCGCTATATTTCCGCTTTAAAAGAGTAATATTGAAGTATAAACTGGTCTAATTGTTTTAAAAACATCCCTGAGCTACGACAAAGTATTCAAGGTAAATGTTTTTCGTGTGTGTGTGTGTGTTTTTTTTTACATTTGTAGCTACGAAATTGGCGTCACCAATTTTAACGAAATTTGGGATGCATTTTTCACTGTTTAGTGCTTGAAATATTTGCTAAAACTGACTAGAAATACTTAGAGATTTCATCGTAGAATGGCGTAGTTATATTTATTTGCTCTTTGACTAAAATGTGTTTTGCTGTATAATTGCTAAACATGCCGTTTTTGAGAATTTGGTTTGCAACTAGGTTTCAACATCCAACCACGCCGTCATTCCATTGAAAACATTAGGTCACGTCAGCTAGTTTCCTATCCATTTATTTTATTATCCATGCACATATTGAACCAAGAACTGAAATGGCGAGCATTCAGAGCAAGACAACGCCATTTTAACTTGTACTCTCCAGTCTCTCTTTTATCTTGTAGACCAATTTTGATCAGTTTAGGTGTCAGATATCCATAATCGTTGCATGTATATATACTGTAAGCAGTGACCATGTTTGATTTAAAATAGCAGGAAAACTAGGACAGCTCTCACGACCAAATAAATATCAACTGTTGATATATTACAATAAGATTTTCATGGAATATTGACTGAGATATATTTGTAAGTCCGACAAGCATTTATGACAATGCTAAAAATTTGCATATTAAATGACCTAGTAAACTAATTTCAGTACAGGTGCCGTTCGCTCGTGATTATTGTGTATTTCTGTATGGCAACTGTACTGAAATTAGTTTAATAGGCCAATTTTATGCAACTTTTTAGCATTGTCACAACCGCTTGTTTGATTTAAAATATTGATGTCTCAATTAATATTGCAGAAAAATCTTGTTGTAATATATCAAAATTTAAGTTTGCCCTTTATTTGATCGTAATAGCTGTTCTAGTTTTTCTGCTATATATTAAATCAAACAGGATGTAGTTTTTTGTGTCCCGAATCATCAAATTTGTATTGAGAAGATCTATTAATTGATGGGATATCGTTTAGTTCAAAGACAGATTGATGAACTGGAACTTGACAGTGAAGACTGTGAATATGAAGTCAAAACTATCACAAGCGCTGTTAAACACTATCTCAGGTATGTGCTTATAAATATACTCCCCCAACCCAGCATGCTTCTTCCCTCAACAAGAGTGGTAGCTGAATAACTGTGTAACAAAGCTGTAACAATAATTTTATAATAACGTTAATAATTCAAGCGCTTTCATTGGTCGAGAGCCATTACCTATTACAGGACAGACGCACGGAATTACGTCACATAAAACCTTATCCAATAGCATTCCCTTATTTAAGAAACATTAAAATTAAATTTACAAAAACTTCAAAACAGGGCGGCAAGGGTTATTATACAGGTGATAATTATGACGTTCGATCAAAACAAATATTACTTAAGTTAGGCTGGAAAACACTGGATGAAAGTCTCACGGAAAAATGTATGAGTAATGTTATGAATGATAATGGTCCGGAGATAATAGGTTGCCTTTTTGAAAAGTGCAACAATTTTAATTATAATTTAAGAAGTAATGGCAAATTTCTAAGACTGTCAAAACCAAATACAAACTGTATATGAAGAGAAGTTTTATAGTTATAGTTATATGGGGGCTAAGACCTGGAATCAGCATCTAAACGATAATTTGCATGTGAATATTATAATTCTATTCTCTTACTTGTAAATATTACACGGCCCTATGACAATCAATATCATGCAATTGATAGGTTATACCGTGTATAAATATAATTAAATACAATACAATACAATTTGTATAGATCATGTATACCCGTGATATTTGTAAAATTTCGACTTTTTCAAATTTCCAAATGTTTGGGTGGATAAAATTAAGCTATTTTCCTGTTTAATTATTATTATATATTTTCACTTTTCTTTCCACATTATGACGTTATACTCTGTATCTATAACTGAACAGACAACGGCAAAATCTTATTTGTTAATTTTACAACCCTGAAAGCATTGGTGGACTATAAAGTAAACATATTTGCATGAAATTCCAAGCTTAAAGAGTTTAGATTTGCGGCAAAAAAGAGTGGTTATATATGGTAGCAAATTCCGGAAGTAGTTACATGATTATAATTGTTCCGATTATTTGCATAATAACATTTGTGTAATGGTATTATTCTGCTTTCCAAGACTTATCACCTTGCATATATATTATACGGCCAGTGAACTCCATAACTTTGGGCAATTACCCGAATAAAAAAATAGGCCAAAAATGGCGATTGTTTGGTATGTTATATTTGTATAATCAAAAACATAATTCTATGCAGTTGTATTTTTGTTGTCATGTTTTAGGAGTATGACAGCGCCATTATTAACTTACGAACAGCACGATTCCATTCTAGAAGCGGCAAGTAAGTATAGTTCTTTTTACACACGATACAATGGAACCATTTGTCAGCACTGCCTAAATAAGTCCAAGGATCGCAAAATACCCAATACCAAGACCAGTAAGTATTAACAATATTTTGATGCGATCGTATTGTATTAACAGAAACGGAAAGCTACGATAATAGAGTGGAAGCTGTGAAAATAGAACTAGACAAGCTGCCGTATGACAATTATGAAATGTTGGACATTATTACGGAGCATCTTAAAAAGTGAGTATTTTTAATAAAGGTTGTTCCACATTGTTTCTATATATAGTACATGTAATACTATACACAATATGGATTTTTTTGAGAAACCAAATTTAGGTGGAAAAATGAAAAGTCCTGTTCTTTGTGGTACAAAGTTTAAGCGTAGAGAGCTTTTGCTACACGAGACAGGGCTGGGAAAAGTATGGAACTATGGGACCATTGGTCACAGAAAATGTTTCCCCAAGAAAGAAAAAGATAATTGTTAAAATTTAGATAAAAGGAAAAATTCCGAGGACGAGAAACATATGTTTTTTTACTTGGCCTAATGTCCTCTTGCGCTCCCAGAAAGTAAAATATTTTTTCACCCCTGACGCGAGGTAATATCCAGTCAACTCCCTTAACGCTTTATTCTGTAATTTCCACGTGTAGTGTTGCAGCTAACTCGAAGCAAAACTTAATGCAAGCCAGTAATCTTGGCGTGGTGTTTGGTCCTACACTGATGAGATCTAGAGAAGAGACGATGGCGGCCATCATGAATTTAAAATATCAGACAATAGTCGTCGAGTTGATGGTGAACGAATACGACGCGGTAAATACGGATACATTAATGTTTGTAACGTTACGTAGAATGTTGGTTGAACTGTTTGGGGGTCTGGGGTAGTCAAATAGCCGAGCGGAATTAGTACCCGCGCTAACGGCTTCCTGAAAGCGAGAGTGACACGTGGGAACCGAAACTACCGGTTCTTTTGCGCATGCTGGATGTAGATTTGCGGTTCTAAGAAAAAGGGGGGCTCTGCAGTCTGCTTGGAGGCTTGATCGTCCATAAACGCATATGTTACCAGGGAAATTCAAACTTCCCTTCGGGACTGTGCCTACGTGGCATTCTGTTGGAGCTCCCGATGTCCGGTCCGACTTCGGACCGCTTTTGGTCTTGATAGTTTTCTATTATTTAACTTTCATTATCTTACTGTAACTTAAATAGTTTATTATTATTTAACTTATTCTTTGGGTTAGCAACATGTATATTCTGCTGACCCCAGCAAATAATCCTCATTCTGAGGGGTTTGCTGTAATGGGAGATAGATAGAAGAACCGGAGTGCAGCCTAAGAAATTACCTCGAACCTATTTTCTACCAGCTCACCGTCATCACTGTGTAAATCAGGCACACAACTCATCTACAACAACGTAGGTGAGTTGTGTGCTTGATTTACACAGTATAGAACTCAAGTTGTAAGCAGGTTACGTGCGACAGTTTTAGGCCAAAGTTGTGCAGTGTAATTCGGCCTTTAAGAAAACACTAAAAATCTATATAAGCTACGTATTTGTCGCTTCGATTTCGCATTGCTTTCTCTTAAAGGCAGACAGGACAGTAAACTAGTTCCAGTCACAAAAGCTACAGTTCTCCGGAAGGTATTCATCAGGGAGTCACATGGGCCAAATAACCCATCTATGTATACATATATAGGTAACTAATGACGAGTTTTGAATCTAGTTTTGCTTTTCAATGTGGAACAGCCTAAAAATACAGAAAATTTCACTATAAAAAGTAGTAAGTATTTTACGTGAGACCACGAAACAAATAGCTCACATAGCCCAGCTCTAGAACTACAACTAAAACCTTCCCAATTCTTCTTCATTTCAAAATTTGTTTCATTTCCATTTTGTCTGTTTTTAGTTATTTGACTCGTCAAATCCATTCAGAACAACTGATGAAAAACCCAAACCTCCGCTCTCCAGAAAACCTGATATTCCAGATAAAAAACCAGAAGTTCCTGACAAGAAGCCTGAAATTCCTGAGAAAAAGCCTGAAATTCCTGGCAGGAAACCGTTCGTTGAAGAAAAGAATGTGTACTCGGTACCACCATCGTTTCCTCCACCACGGGCATCACCAAAACCACCGTTAAATTCTCAAAAATCCTACCCAGCGCCGCTACCTCCTCAGAGCAGAGTGAAGAATTTGTCGCTTAATAGGAAACAGAAGCAGTCGTCTAGTAAGTGTATTTTTGGTCTTTTGGAGGGGACGATGTTATCAAGGTATGCGGGAGATTTGCAAGGTTTGCAGCAACTTGCAACTCGTTATCGGGCATAGAGCAAAGAAGACTTGAGTTCTTTGTAGGATTGCATGGCGATAAGACATATAATACTTTTTGTTTCTGGAAACAACACGTAAATTTATCACTGCAAAGCTTTCGATCCGTAAGCCAGGATCTTCATCAGTGCTAATAATATGTCATAAAAACATATTATTAGCACTGATGAAGATCCGGGCTTACGGATCGAAAGCTTTGCAGTAATAAATTTACGTGGTGTTTCCACAAAGAAAAAGTATCACAAAGAAGACTTTCTGGCCGGAAACACTCGAGTCATGCACCCTTATGCCTGGTTCACACTGGTCGTATAAGAATCGGGGATTTCCATTGTCTTTGGTCATTGGTGGGTAAAATGCTTTGTCTGTCGGAAAAGAATACAATAGATCGCCGCTGAATTACGACCAGTGTGAACCAGGCTTAAAGCACATTGTCGTCATCAAATTTTGAGGACAAAGTAGCTACTCCATGTTGAAACAAGCGTTGATAGCGTAAATGACCAGCCTTAAAAATGTTATATATTGCATGTTGATTAATTAAATGAAATAATTTAATGCGAGCAATTACTTTCTAATTTAATAATTTAGTCCAAGCTCGTATCTACTTCATTGTGTGCCTAGATTGTTACAGGTCAATAAAAGCGTTTTTTCTTCTTCCTTTTAGGCTCAGATGAGAATTTAGTCCCGGGGTCAGGTAATATTTGCCTTAACTACTATTTAAAGCACGCGCAGGAGTGCTTTATCAGATATAAAACACGAGTGTTTTACATCTAAATGAATTATGTGAATTATGTAAAAAGGTAGCAGTTACATTAAATGAATTATGTAAAAAGGTAGCAGCTGGAATTGGGGCTATAAAACGACTAAGGCCATATTTTAACCGTCTCACTCTCCTGTCCGTTTATTATGCCCTGGTTCAACCGTATTTTGACTATTGCTGTCTTGTGTGGGATCCAATTGGTACCACGATTACAAATCGATTACAAGTACTCCAAAATAGGGCAGCAAGGGTCATCTTATACAGAAATGAGCATGGTCAGTCTGAAGCTGCTTTTTCTGAATTGCAATTGAAAACGTTAAAAGAACGCAGATTAATCTTTAGGGGCAAGTTTATGTATAAAATTGCTCATGCGCAAGCACCACCTGTTTTAACTGACATCTTTGAAGAGTCATCCGCTCCTCAACATAATTACAATTTAAAAGACCATGATTTCAAGTTTTACTTACCAAAACCAAAAACAGAATACTCGAAAAATAGCATCCGGTATAGTGGAGCAAAACTCTGGAACAGCTTACCTTGCGAGTTAAGAAGCGCAAATTCATTAAATCTATTCAATTCGTTGATTTCTGATACTAGCCTGCAGTCTTAAATCTATTATTATATCTTTATTTAACCATGATTTAACTAATTGTAAAATTTAATATGTAAGTGTAACTATTGTATATATTTTATCATCACGCCCCTCTTGGAAATCAGCAAATGCTGAAGGGGTTATAGCGTGTTTAAATAAAGTTTTATCTACATCTGATAAAGCACGACTACAAGTGCTATAAATGACTTAAAAACGACGCATCTTATGCATTCATTGGCGAAGTAATTTAAAAATAAACGTTGTCTAACCCGAGAAAATCCAAGCTAATTTCAGTTTCCACACTATGGATATAGTATGGAAACAATGTGGATATGCTATGGATTTAGTGATGCAATGGACCATTTGCATTATAGACTAAATTTTGATCTCAACAAGTCTAGACAAAAATTTCATCACAGCTTGAAAGAGCATCACAAAATTAGTAATATTCCAAAGTTTCGTTGCGAAATGTTGTAAATGCGGATAATATAGCCTTGCGAAGTTTGCCGTTTTTCAGTCATTTTCTATTACAAACGGGAAATTGACAGCCCCAAAGGGTATGGGCTGTCAATTTTCCCCGCGTAATGCAAATTATGACTAAAAAACGGCAAACTTCGCAAGGCTATATTATCCGCATTTACAACATTTCGCAACGAAACTTTGGAATATTACTAATTTTGTGATTCTCTTTCAAGCTGTGATGAAATTTTTGTCTAGACTTCTTGAGATCAAAATTTAGTCTATAATGCAAATGGTCCATTGCAAATTCCATAGTATGAATTTCACTATTTTTTCACAGTGTATTGTTATATAAACACTCAGCCTCTTGTTACAATTCTTAACCTTCACCGAGTTCAATTTAAATAGTTTTATAAGATTCTCGTATCTGATCAAGGGCAGAAAACAATGAGGATCTTGAGTTTCACTCACGAATTCTTATTTCTATTATATAGAGTCAAATGTTATGTCGAAACTGAAGGCATTGTAAGTGTCCATTGTATTATATACCCAATTAGAAAACTGAATTCGTACCATAATTTTTGTTGGATTCCACCACGCCTGGGGTGTATCGCAGAATTAAATGCATGCTTAAAACCAGGCGGAGAAAAGACTATCTATAATCATGTGTTTCGCAGTGATTACAAGGGGAAACTTCAGTGGCGTCAGCATGCAGAAACGCCATTAATTGTTACTTCTCATTTCCTCCCTTGAATTGCACTAATGAATCCAAATCAAAGCCTGATTTCAAATTGCGTTTATAAAAAAAAACGAAGCCTTTAGAATCAAGCTGTTGTTGGAATTTGTAAAATTGTTGGGTACGCAAAACAGAATAGAAGGGATTTTTATGCATGAGGAAGTTATTTAAAACTTTAATTTGGTTTTGACAATTTTTATGCAGTTATGTTCGACCTTCATACAATTAGAAGGAGCATAAAATCTTGATTTCTAAAGGTCTCGTTTCTTTTACACCCTGTATATAGTAGCCAAAAGCAAATGTTTATAGCCTAAACACATCCATTCCCTGCTATTTATTGTATTTGGATGAGAAACTTAACCTGGATTCAGAAAGTCGTTCTGCAACTGCTCAGAGAGAAAAATACTCCACCCCATAACCAGGGTCTCGAGGAAAATGCGACCATCACAATGCGGTTTCTGCCAGATTTGCTGCATAGAATTACACGAGAGGTAGAACGTCTTTGTTTGCAATCATTGTTTTGGGTAACAGTTATCGAATTATTATGCACATGGGTAATGAAGTTAATGGTCAAATTGCATTAAATTCGTTAGGATGGGAGACACTAAAAGTACAAAGAACTAAAGCTAAGGCAAAATTTACTACAAGAATGAGAATACACATTACTGCTTCCGTGACAATGAAACAACACTCGTTTTGCCACAGCCTCGCACAAATAGCATGCATGAAAAAGAGTTTCATGTTTTTAAACCAGGAAACTGGGGCAAAAATATGGAACTCAGTCCCTAAAGATCTCAGAGGGATTGGATCCCAGTCTCTATTTGAAAGAAAAATTGCTGCTCGTGTTGCTAATATATATATATATATAGCTTAAGATTTTGGTTTACGAAACACAAACAGTGCTCAATACCATATAGATAGAGCGTAATATAGTTTTTCGTTTTACCTCAAAAAACCACATATATATATATATATATATATATATATATATATATATATATATATATATATATATATATATATATATATATATATATATATATATATAATTTGTACAAATTGAATGAATACATGCAATTAAATCTATAAACAACAATAAATACCTTCGATAAATGTGCAAAAATCACTCACAAAAGCTAGCAACTCGGCAAATTTCAACTCAGTCATTCAGCTGCGACTTCAAAATCCAATCCGGTCTTCGAAAACAAATACTATTTCGGTCATTTGACCCTGTTGTGTCACATTTTCCAGCTGGTTTCTGCACTTCGTGCAACAAGTGCTTTTCAATTGCCATAGTCGCTCAGAACAAAATAATTGCGTTTTTATCACATGTTTTTATTCCTTTAAAACAATGGTTTTTCACTGTTTTGATAAATTTTTAGTTTTTCGTTATTTATTACCGTTTAGCGCATTCTAAGCTTAGCCAATCAGAATTCAGCACGTGACTTAAGCGAGCCAATAGCATTTCGTTATTTGTATAGATCATGCACGCGTGATATTTGCAAAATGTCGACTTCCAAATGTTTGGGGGAATAAAAATAAACCTGTTTACCTGTTTAATTCGGCAATTTTTTCAATTTTATTATATAAAACAAGTAGATTACATTTTCCCGCTGTCTGTTGAGTTATAGATAGACAGTATGAGTGTATGACTCACCTAGGCGGCTCGTGGACACTTTTTTTGTTCTTACCACATATGACGTCATATTGTGTATCTATAACTGAACAGACAACGGGAAAATGTAATCTATTTGTTAAACATTTCCTTTTCTTGTATGTTTCAGTGAATCTACGGATGGCAAAAATAAAAACAACGGTGGAATCAGCTCAGTTAGTTCACAGTATGCGACAACAGGTCCTACAACGGTCACGTCTGACGTTCGAACTCGACAGAACAGTCCCCCTCCTCTACCCACCAGTCCACCGCCAAGGGATCATTACTCAGCACCACCTCCACGAACTACCAGGTATTTGAAACCAGTGTCGTAACGAGTCAAGTCATTTACTCGGACTCGAGTCGTAATCTTCTGCGACCCGAGTCGAATACGAAAAATGACTCGAGTCGAGTCAACAGCCCCAAATGACTCGACTCGGACTCGACTTGCTGATTTCTGCCGTAAATGACTCGAGTCAACTCAGCTACAACTTGTACAGGATAAATTCATCAAAAATATTGTGGTTGAATAGGTTGGGAAGAGTCCTGAAAGGGCTTGAAGAAATAAATGGTAATTCTCGATGCAGATAGGCATGTTTCCACTTGTAGGGAAATTTTAAGGCATTTTTGTTCACCTTTTTGTTCACCTTTTTGTTCACCATACAATTCGTGTAGCAATTGACTCGACTCGGACTCAACTCGAGTGAGCCATTGACTCGAGTCGACCTCGGCTTGTGACTCGACGTTTGGGTGTCTCGACATGTTGGTGACTCGTTACAACACTCTTTGAAACATTTAACATTTTTGCTTTACAAACCTTAATTCAATCTCGTTAGACCTATTTTTAAAATTAGTGATCAGTATAATGTGTAAATTATATTAGTTGTTTTTTGTTCAATTTCTTTTGAATATATAACAATTTTTGAATACGTTTGTTATAGGTATTTCCGTAAATGAGGTTGCCATAAATTAGGCATATGGATAAACCAAGGCATAGTAGATCAGTGAAATGTCGAATTCTGGATATATATTATTGCTTTGATTTAATAACTTCATCTGATAACATGGAACTTATTCTGTCTCCATGATGATAAATGTAAAGAACTAAGGATTGATTTTAAGAAGACCAAAAGCACCTTTCCCCAATCCTCCTTAATGGATAATCACTAGATGTTGCTCACTATTACCTCTGATTTAAAATGGAACAGTCATGTGTCAAATATTATGCCTAAATATTCGAAACGACTAGTATATCTTCTGGTTCAGTTAGGGCGAGTCACTGTCCCAAACAAAGACAGAATCCAATTTTTTGTAACATGTATTACACCAGTACTGGAATATGCATCCTCTGTTTTTCATTATTCTCTTCCGTGATGACTTCGAACGTGTTCAAAAATGTGCCAATTCTATTGTATATCCTGGAATTAATTATGAAGATTCCCTCGTTGAAAGTTGGTTGTTTACACTTTGTGAGAGAAGAAATCAAGCTTGCACGAAGTTTTTTAGTCAAGTTCTAGAGGATACTATTCATAAATTACATGATCTTATCTCAATAGCTAATTTGGCATCTTGCTACTCTTTACGAAATGTCAAGAAAATTCAAATTCCTAATTTTAAAACTGAACGGTATAGAAACTCTATTATAGCAAGTAGTTTTAATGCGAACAGTTTAGGTTTATAGATAATTCATAGTTCCACTGTTGTACTAATATTTTTACCTGAAGTTGTAGAATTTTATAGTGTCCAATTCCTTCATGTAATCACCTTGTAATTCAGTTATTTTTACTGCAAATCGTGTGACTATTAAACTATTACTTTATCCATCTATCTGTAAGTCTATTATTATAAGTGTTTATTAAACTGGATCTGTCTGTGCCATAATAACAAGCTTTCGTTGGTAGGGATGCAACTCCCTTAAAAATGTGAGAAGAATTTCGACGTATCGAGGCCCTTCGTCTGGAGTTACTAGCGGGGATTGGGAAAATTACATGAGCTTTTATGCTAAGAATATAAAAGTGATCACGTGACGAAAAATAAACCAATCAGATGGTTTTGGTCAAAACATGCAAAGTATAAACAAAAAAAGTGTAAATCACATTATGGAATATATTAATACAAATATACAGAAAACTAAGTAAAAGTACTGTCAATGCCTGCTTTTGACAGCCAAAGACAGATAGAGTTGAACATAGGGATAACGTTCATTCATGCCATAATCCTATATTTAACTCTATCTGTCTTTGCCTATTAAAAGCAGACATTGACAGTACTTTTAATTCTTACCTTATTCCATACTTGTTTCATACAGGGCCGTAGCTGGACACGATAATTTGGGGGCAGGGGGGGTATATTCATATATTCATGTTCACATACCGTAAAAACAATCGATTTCAAAAGAAATCCGTCGGGCAGAACACGAATATATGAATATAAACACACCCTTCCCCCCTCCCCCCCAATTATCGGTCTAACTACGGCCCTGGTTTCATATATTTTGTTGTAGTTTTCTGTATATTTGTATTAATATATTCTGTAATGTGATTTACATTTTTTGTTTATACTTTGTTTTGATTAATTTTTTGTTACGTGAGCGCTTTTATATTCTTAGTATAAAAGCTCATGTAATTTTCCTGACCCCCGCTAGTAACTCCAGACGAAGGAAGGGCCTTCGCTCGAAACGCCGAAATTTTCTTTATGTTTTTTCAGGTAGTTGCATCCCTATCAACGAAAGCTTGTGTATTAAACTGCTTTATAGTGTCGAGTCGGTGAAGCTAAATCACGAATAATAAAGGCATTTAGAACAAATAAACCCCAATGACAACATTCGTGTGGCTGCTAAGCATTGTGCGCAGCAGTATGCTACATACGGGAGTACATACGGGTCGTTTGTCAAGTCGATTGTAACATTAATATGTGGGTTGTTAAGTCTTGAAAACCACGACCAGCCGACAAATTTAAAAAAGTAAAGTAAAAAACAAATTCCGAAAGACAATACATCTTGAGAATACAATATATGATTCAAAAACAAGACGCAGATTGATACTGTAAATTTTCGACTTTATTTCAAAGTCATCTTCAGACAGAATGAATATGACTATTCTGTCTGAAGATGACTTTGAAATAAAGTCGAAAATGACTATATGACTATTCTGTCTGAAGATGACTTTGAAATAAAGTCGAAAATTTACAGTCTCAACCTGCGTCTTGTTTTTGAATCATGTATTGTATTCTCAAGATGCCTTGTCTTTTCGGAATTTGTTTTTTACTTTGTTAAGTCTTTGTATAGTAAATTTAAAGATGGTTCATTTCACGACTGAACAACGAATTTTCGTATAGTTACAACGAAACTGGAAGTTTACAGACCACTCGCGATGTTGAATGTTTCCTTGCAGATATAGGCAGCCCCCATTTTGACAAATATTCGAGCACCTCTGTTTTCGAGCCACTCTAATTGATTTTATCATTCTAATATGTTCACTATTATCTAAGTTATAGGTAAGAAACGAAAGTTGACAACCCAGCCACTTTAGTACTAAAGTTGCAATACTGAAAGCGAGAGTGGGCATATTTCTTTATAGTCATATTCTTGAATTTCTTTCTTTGCAGACGAGTACGTACAAAATTTCCATGCGTTGGAGAAAACAGCACCGAATTAAGCTTTGACGCTAATGCCATTATTACAAATGGTGAGTGATATGTTCATCATGTTTGAAATTTCTTTAGTATAGATTATGGTATAGACACCCATAAAAATGATATATTCCACCACTTCAGGGACCATGCAGATAGGTAAGGGTATACTGGGTGTGGGCAAAAAAGCCCCTTAAAAATGGCACACCCTGTTCTTTGTCACCATAACTAAAGGAAGTGTTGATATAGGTATATGTTTTAGTACGTAGTTGTTTAAGTTTCTACTGGGGAGCACATATTTTCATTTTGGGTAAATCTTATCATTTTCTCCAAACGACTTTACCAAATATTTCAACGTTGTTTTCTGATATTGGGCTAGTTTATAAGCTGTGCAAAGACCTGCACAATAATTTACCCGCGCATTAGGAATTTGTTACTTCGTGTCACTCTCTAATAGTCTGTCTCTAGTAAGTTTTGTATTTGATTGGTAGTATTCCAAACATGCTTGGGATATGTTGCAAGGGCGGGGGGGGGGGGATGCGTTAAGGAAGCGAGGATGATGTAAGGGGGTTTTCGTAGTAATCAATATTGTATGTATTTCGTTTTAGTTCGAGACTCTAAGGAACCAGGATGGCTAGAAGGAACACTGCACGGAAAAACTGGACTAATTCCATCAAATTATGTGGAATTTATTTAAAACGTTATTATTTTTATAATTTTACTACATTAATTGCCTAGATGGGTAAGTGATTTATATAATATAGTTAGAGTTAGTGTTGCATCAATATAGGAATATACCGCGACAAAGTAGGCATAACGACCCAGTATTAACTTGCTCTTATTCATTGGTCAAATCCAAATTTTTTACACAATGGTTCCAAAATGCCCACTTTTTATTTACGAGGTACTAGCAAATTTTCACCGTTGTAATTATGAAACAACCAAGTATTTTGTTTTCTAGAATCATTTAAGGTTGCGACACTAATTGTTGGACAATAGTAAGATAATGGAAAAATTTCATTTTTGCTATGTCACAAAAATAAAAATGGTACTAAAAAACATTATTCGAAGTTTCTAATTTATAATTGTTGGACAACTTGTACAAATGTAAAAACGACACTTCTGGCTTCATTTTTCTTTTGTGGAAGAAAGTTAATGTCATAAATCGAATGTTCTTAACTTCCTTTATATCGTTAATTTTAGATCTGATTTTTACGACTCCCCACGCACATTTTTTGTAGCAAAGTAGTGAATTCATGATATTTTCATTTCCCATAGACAAATTTGGCTAACGTTGTTTACATCGTTGCTACCCAATTCCCAACTGTAGATAATTCACATGCCTAGTTACTGTATTGTTCTGGTTACAGAATCAGAGAACAGAACAAAGGTAACTAGACATTGGAATTATGAATAAGAGTTATTCGCTCGTGTACATAATTCTAAAGCTTATAGTTACCTTCTTTCTATTCTATGCTTCTGTAAACTAGAACAATAGTAACTATTTATTTTTTTTATTTATTTAGCTTTGCCAACTAGGGCAGGGTCACCACAACAGCATATGCCAATTACTGTGGGCCCTTTTTTACCTAACCCACCCTGTCAACTTTCCCTGTGGGAGGAAACCGGAGTACCCGGGGAAAACCCACGGCTTTCGGCAGAGCGTTGACTTTTACTCTTTTCACATGGGGACTGGGTTCGAGTCGCACTGAGAAGGTACTTAGTGAGACTCGAACCTGCAGCCTCAGAGGTGAAAGGCAAGTGCGCTAACCACTTGGCCACCGAAGCCCCTATAGGCATGTAAGTTGTCTAAAATTGTAAATTGGGTATGTTTATACCCATTTCACAACGTTAGCCAAATTTGTCTGGTATTTAACTACATACAAACCTGTGGGGTATCTGGCTACATTTTCGCACGGCAATGTTCAACACTTTAAAAAGTAGTAGGTCGACATTTTTTCTTTTACATACCCTTCTAAAAGTACAAGATAATGGAAAAATTTCATTTTTGCTATGTTGCAAAAATAAAAATGATAATAAAAAAATATTCGAAGTTCCATTATTCTGGATTTTTAAGTCCGTAGACTTAGTGTCCACCAAAAATTCTGCGTAGACAAGTTGCCATATAGTTGCCGTTTGCATTGAAATTAATGTCGCAACTTCAAATGTCTCTAGCGGGAGGCAGCATTTGACGGTTTTGATCAGATGAATATCATTAATCCATGAAGATATAGTTGCTTAATCATTTACCAGAAGATTAGACAACAGCTAACGTAAGAGTGCCATGAAATATATAACGGGGCTTTTTGGGATACTTTAAATATTCAAGGGGATTTACATCATAATTTTCGCCATATTCCACGCATTCATTGTGTTTTGTCAAAACAGTGTTTTACTCTATGTACTGCATGATAAATAGTTATTATGAAGGTGATACTTGTTAAAAGGATATATATAAAAAGAATAGCTATAATAAAATAACGGTATTACTACTATATAGTTAATATTGATAAGGTTTTATCATGATGCCAGGGCAAATTTCGTCGTTGCTAATCTTGTATATTTAAATCAAAAGTGAAAGTAATTACCTTATTCGTACTTAATTTCGCGCGTCTGAATTTTGTGATTTTTTCGAGGCAATATTTCGCGAGACTTTATTTTCGCGATTTTGATAGGCGACTATAGAAAAAGGGCATTGAATTTCGCGAAAGCTTTGAACATTTTATTTTCTATAAAAATATGAACAACATCTTTTCTAAAGATGTAACCGATGATAATTAGATTTTTTGCTTTCAATTTTTTGCTCTCTTTATTGCCCGTAACAAGAGAAGATGCTGAGACAATTATTAAATATTATGTTATTTATGCCGATATATGAGCTGTGCATATTGTTGATCGTTATTTATCAAGAATTTTATGATTCAAATTTTTGACTAGGGTATTTAATTTCGCGTGTGTAAATTTCGTCACGTTTTGTATTTGCGCGACTTTAATTGTTTTACAATTAAAAATAAATAAAAATATTTGCGCGAAATTAAGTTTTTACGAATAAGGCGTTGAAATGAATTACAAATGAAATAACTGGAACGCTACCTCCCAACCGGAAATTTGAACCTAAACGTGAAGGCCAGTCCATGTCTTTTCACGAACGCGAAGAGCGCTTAATCAGTCAACCATGCATGGTACAAACACAAGTGTCTTGATCGCCAGACTTGGGGGTGAGATTGGCTTCAAGAAAAAGATCTGAAGGTAGTGTTTCAGTTATATCCATTTCAATGGAATAAGGTAACTATTTAAATTTGCACGTGCAAGTTTCTTTACGACATTACCTAGATATTCTCACTGATGCAACACTAAGAATGGATTTTCAGATAGATTAGTTATAATTGTATAGCGTTTGCAGATTGATCAAATAGATAGAAATATGTTATAGGATACTTCTATACCATGCAGTACGCATTTAATATTGTTAGAAGTACATATGTTGATATTTTACATGTTTATGAGCCTTTACTGCTTTTGGTATGAGTCCAAATTCCTTTTATTATCATTATTATTGTTATTATTAGAACTGTTGCATGCTTTGTACAAAATATATAAGAGATTAAGATTTAGTGCAAATCAAGACAGTTTGTTTTTTCGTGAAAATTTCAGTGCCTTAATTGCAGTATAACATTTTGGTTAAGGGTTGCTGTGTGCATGCATTTCTAGCATATACACACTAAATTCTTCCCACAATATCAGAACATTTTCTGTGCAAGTTACGATCGTGAACACTGTTGTCATGGTTAAATAAAGAGTAAAAAGCAAAGTATACTTATCCTTGTCTCATTCGACGGCAGGGGGGGGGGGGGGGCAAAGGGAGCAAATTGCCTCGGGCCCCGAGTTGCTGGGGGCCCCTGAAAAATTTTTGTAGGGCCCCAGCCTTTTTTGTGTGTTAAATATTTCCGCGCAAAGGCTGTTTTCTTGGGCTAAGTACCGAATTTTGGCATAAAAAAATGAGATAAAGTCCCTCGAAAGCATTTGCAACGTACTCGTCCGGCAAAATTTTGTACTGCGGAAAACATTTTTTACCCCTAAAATGGTACACTGACCGAAAAATTTTTTTGGGGGGGGGTGGGGGGAGGTTGTTATCCGGAAGAAAATTTTTTTAGATAGGGGCCCCTAAAAAAAAAATTGCCCCGGGCCCCCGCCAACCTCTGGGCGGCCCTGTTCGACGGTGACCTTATACGCAACATCTTTTCTTGTCATTTTTGCATTATCATTAGCAGTCGTTATATTATAGCAGATGGATTTATTACGCGGGCGTAGACCTTAAAATCAGGCTTTGCTTTATTGTTGGATCGGAAAGCTAGATTAAGGTGAATGGAGCTGTTTTGAGTAAAATTTCCAAGCAAAAATAATAACCGCGACACATTTTAAATAGAACTTAGCAGTTGCTAAGATAACATGATTGTTAACGCCGTTGTTATGGTCGATATTACAAAGTCATTAAAAATGATAAACCCGCCAACCCCATGTGGATCTATACAATGTTGTATTTCAACAATCAAAATACAAGGGAACATTTTCGTTATGGTTAGTATACGTTGTGGGTTTTGTAAGATATATCAAAATTTAGTCTTATTGATATCGAAAATGTGTGCTGCCAAAGTCATTAACGGTCGTCAAAGGATTACAAGCTAAAATTAATCTATTAACTTGCACAAGAATTTAGATTTAAAACGCATTTATTTCTTCAAAACGTTTGCAAAGTTATGCTTCTAATACATATCGTCACTTGCTTGAGACGTTTCATTATCTGAGATTACTGTATGATATCCTAAGATATTGTATGATTTTCTAAGATACTCTATGATGTCCTATAGACTATTAAGACCATAGCCATGACTTTGAAGACTATAGTCATGCCTATTAAGGACAAAAGTCATGACCATTAAGACTATAGCCATGACTATTAAGACTAGTCATGACTATTAAGACAAACGTCATGACTATTAAAACTATAATCTTGATTATCAAGGCTATAGTCATGACTATTAAGACTATAGTCATGACTATAAAGACTATAGTCATGCCTATTAAGACAAAAGTCATGATTATTAAGACAAAAGTCACTCCTTGCTTGGAGCCTAGACTTGGCTCCGAGCTAACGCTCGATATTTCCAGCTAGACTCCGAGCTATTTAGACTAGGCTCGATATTTCCAGCTAGACTCCGATGTGTTAGCTGGGCTTTGTATCATATAAACTGTGTCGTTTAGTTGAAAGAATCAATATCATGATTCAATTATTCAATACTGGGATTCATTGATTTAATATAGGATTCGATTACTCAATTTAGAATTCAATGATTTAATATTAGGATTCAATAATTCAATCTTAGGATTCGATGATTCAATCTTAGGATTCAATGATTCAATTTTAGGATTCAATGATTCAATTTTAGGATTCAATGATTCAATGTTAGGAATCAATGATTCAATCTTATGGTTTAGTGATTCAACCTTAGGATTAAATTATTCAATTTTAGGATTCGATGATTCAATCTTAGGAATCAATGATTCAATCTTAGGATTAAGTGATTCAATTTTAGGATTCAATTATTCAATCTTAGGATTTAATGATTCAATCTAGGATTCAATGATTCAGTCGAAGATTCAATGACTGAATCGTAGGATTCGATTATTCAATCTTAAGATTCAATTATTCAATCTTAGGTTTAAATTATTCAATTTTAGGATTCAATTATTCAATCTTAGGATTCAATAATTCAATCTTAGGATTCAATGATTGACTCTAGGATTCAATTACTCAATCTTAGGATTAAATTATTCAATCTAGGATTCAATGATTCAGTCGAGGATTCAATTATTCAATCTTAGGATTCAATTCTTCAATCTTAGGATTCAATTATTCAATCTTAGGTTTAAATTATTCAATTTTAGGATTCAATCTTAGGAATCAATGATTCAATCTTAGGGTTTAGTGATTCAATCTTAGGATTACATTATTCAATTTTAGGATTCAATGATTCAATCTTAGAATTCAATTTTAGGATTCAATAATTCAATCTTAGGATTCAATCTTTGGATTCAGTGATTCAATCTTAGAATTCAATCTTAGGATTCAAGTATTGAATCTAGGATTCAATGACTCAATCTTAGGATTCGATGATTCAGTCTAGGATTCAATGATTCAGTCGAAGATTCAATGATTCAATCTTAGAATTCAATAATTGAATCATTCAACGATTGAATCTAGGATTCATTGATTCAGTCGAGGATTCAATGATTGAATCTTAGGATTCAATGATTGAATCTTAGGATTCAATTATTCAATCTTAGGATTCAATTATTCAATCTTAGGATTCAATGATTGAATCTAGGATTCAATGACTCAATCTTAGGATTCAGTCTAGGATTCAATGATTCAGTTGAGGATTCAATGATTGAATCTTAGCAGTCAATGATTGAATCTTAGGATACAATGACTGAATCTTACGATTCAATTAATCAATCTTAGGATTCAATGATTGAATCTTAGAATTCAATAATTGAATCTTAGGATTCAATGATTGAATCGTAGGATTCAATGATTCAATCTAGGATCCATGACTCAATCTTAGGATTCAATGATTCAATCTAGGATTCAACGATTCAGTTGAGTATTCAGTTGAGGATTCAATTATTCGATCTTAGGATTCAATTATTCAATAGAGAGCTCAACGGTGCATTCAGGCTCAAAAACACGCTTTTCATGATGAATAAACTCATATTAGTTAATCCTTTTGTACATAAATGCTTTCTTTTAGCCAGAATAAAAATAATCAACAAGTAAACTAAATTGGAATTCGATATGCTGTTTTAAGCTAATTTTTGACATTTTCAGAAATGGTAGTTCAACTTTGATACGTCAATAGCTCTGTCAATATCGTGGTGGAAATTAAATGTTATATAACAAAATCTAAGTACAAGTATCGAGTTTGGAATCATATATGAGTAGAGTGCTCAATACCGTAGTAGAGCTAATAAGATTAGAAGACAAACTTTAATTACTTCATATGAACTTTATTTCACTTAAAAAAATAAAATAAAGTTAAAAATAAAATAAAGTGAAATAAAATTCATATGAAGTAATTTAAGTTTGTCTTCTAATCTAATCTTCGAAACATATTTGGAAATTAAAAGAAAACAATCAGGATTATGCCATCAAATGGTCAATTTTAAAACACGCTATTTCGTACGCAGGGGGATCAAAACGCTGCAATTTATGTTTGGAAGAAAAATTTTGCATTTTGAAAGACAAAAACAAAGACAATTTAGTCAATAGAAGAAGCGAAATTTTCGGCAAGTGTCACAAAAACCGGTTTCGAGTAGACAAAGTCGTTAACAAAATTTTATGACCCAAGCATTGTTTCGCCTAAGCACTGTTTCGCCTAAGCACTGTTTCGCCTAAGCATTAATTGTTTCGCCTAAGCATTGTTTCGCCTACATGTTTCGATGGCATAAAAGCAACCTATATTTTCGAAATTGCTCACCACCTGATGATTCCTATACGGATGAAACAGACTGTTGTGGGTTTTTTTTAGGTAAAACGATATATATATATATATATATATATATATATATATATATATATATATATATATATATATATATATATATATATATATATATATATATATATATATACAATTTATTAGAGAGTAATGTTTTTGGCGTGAAAAGCGGTTCATGATCATATAATCCCTGTCATCGCTTGAAGTCGGTCAACGCGTAATTTCAAGTTTTTCTTCGCTTTCTTAACCGAGTATATTCGATGCGGAAGCCAGCGAGCAAAATTTTATGACCCAAGCATTGTTTCGCCTAAGCACTGTTTCGCCTAAGCACTGTTTCGCCTAAGCATTAATTGTTTCGCCTAAGCATTGTTTCGCCTACATGTTTCGATGGCATAAAAGCAACCTATATTTTCGAAATTGCTCACCACCTGATGATTCCTATACGGATGAAACAGA